AAGAAATTAAAAAATGAAGAATCTGCATATATGTATGTTTCTCGCAGTATGATAAAACAACGGTACCTAGAGCCCTCAAATTTTGAATAACGTACGTCTCCACCCGAATATGGGCATCTGGAAGCCCAAATTTGGAATTTGTTTTATTATCTATTTCATATTTTGTAAAACATTTATGAGGTTTTTATTACGAAACTCGGCAATTTTAAAGCGAGCAATGGCAATAACACAGTACATAGGGAAAAAAAAAAAAAAAAAAAAAATTCTCCAGCCCTCGAGACTGTCTACCGGAAATTCTAAAAGTATGCCGTTTTTAAATGTTTCTAGTCCAAAGTACCATTAGCCCAAATTCTCTCGAAATGTGTATATTCGTGAAAAAAAAAAAGGTCCTTTGTGCTTAATATTAAATCTAAAACTTTCAATGTTTTTTAAATGAAACTACTCATTCTGAGACATTTTTTTGCATGTTGAAAAAAATTTATGGGTCAAGATATTCTTGATGAATGCTGACCTAGAGTATTCAAAATAGAATTAGTTAATTATAAAAGAATACGAGTCATTAAATTGCTTCTTTGTTAAAGATATTTTATTATTGGTAGATTTCTGACTGTTTGCCAGTAACATTCTGAATATAGCTTCAGCATTAAGAAAACATTGTAAACAGTAATTTTACGTCTATTTCAGTCCATAACATTAATAAGCAATGCTTTTTGTTGTAGGAGACACTTTTAGCGATTTTTATGTATTTTGCGGTTATTTCGAATATGAAGTCGAAATATCTCCATCAGCTTCTTCATCTTTTTTGCAGAACTTCCCACTGATGCTATTCCTCAATACCGGAGGTCAATCAATGTCTTCTTTAAGATACTCCGAGATACGTTGTCTGTAAACAGACAAGCTTTAACAACGACGTGCCCAGATTTATCAGAAAGTCCTGAGATAATGACATCAAGATTACAAAATTAAAATATTTCAGGAAAGGCAAAAATATGTATAATTTTCGTCAAATACAGTGGTTTTTAAAGCATTTATTTTCAAAAAGAGAATGAATTTTGTAAATTGCAACGAAGTAACTTATTTAACGTTTTACAGCATCAGACAGCTGAAGAACATAGGCTACCTTTAAAATCAAACATAAGAAGATGAGTTCTTATAGAAACGACTGTACGTTAGTGTCGCATACTTTTGAAATAATCTTCTGAGAATGTTAAATTTTTGCTCAACTGTTAAATTAAGGAAAACTTTATTTTTGTGGAAATAGGCAGTAATAGTACAATTTCTTGCGCTATAGCTTCGATAAACAAAACACTACCACTTTTATTTGAGTGGATTAAAAGAGATGAAAAGAAGCATTGTATTAAAATTTTCCTAGTCTAAAGGGAAATATTAGCTTTTGAAAATAAAAATACAATTGCTGAATGTTTTGCATGCTCTCAGAGAGTGCACTTGCCATTTCTACATATTTGCCTAGGATTAATGAACAGCTTTATAAAGGCAATAGTAAAAAATAGAGAAGACTTATTTATTTATTTACTTATTTTTTATTTCTTTCTTTATTTTTTAACAGCTTATTTACTTTTTTTAGAAAAGTTTCCTCAAATTTAAAAGAGCCAAAATTAAAGTGAGTTTTATTACTCCCAAAATTAAGAAACTAATGGGCAATCTTGAATTCGAAGGATATTTAATAATGTTGAAGTTCTTTAAAAAGTACAGATGACCTTTGCTTCTAACCAAACAACAGAATATTAGATAACTAATTAGTGACCTTCTGAAAAACTCTCAAATACTGGCTTGTAACATTTCATTTAAAATTTAATTGCTGGATTCCAGTCTTGATTTTTTCCTTAAATAAGTGAAATGAAGAATTAGGAGAACATTTTCACCAGGAAGCATATAGTGAAAAAAACCAGGAAACAAGTTTAAAAAAAAAAAAATGAAATACTTCACAATATAGCTGGACTATATAGGTATGTACCGGAGATAAATATCGAAGGAAATAAAATAAAAATTTATTTTGAGGTAATCATCATTAATTGTAATATCTTGTATACGTAAAATACTTCTTTTCTTTTCTCCCCTTTGCCCCGTAAAAGGTAAAAAAGTTGGTTATTTGAATATAATGTTAGGCAGAAAATTATATTAATTACATTTGAAATCAAAGTGAAAATAAAATACATTATATGAAGGCCGTCTAACCATAAAGATGCTAAATTTTATTGGTTGGGTTAGCTGACAAAAATTTATTGTGCATAATGTTATAATGAAAATATGTTATTTTAAACATTTTGCTTAATAAATGCTGGAATTCAGCTTTTATGGTAACAATTCATTAAGAAACTGAGACTCATAGCTCTGCGCTTTCATTTTCATTTAAATTAATAGTAAATAAAGGTTTAATTTTTTTATTTATAAAATTTATATCAGTTTTTAAGCATTTTGTTAACTTTATGGCAAGCGCATATAATTTCAAATAATAAAGAAATTCTTTCCATACCTAATGTTACTTTCATTATCATTATCTCAGCCTATAATAAGCATTTCTTCCAGCTTGATATTTTATCCATAATTTCGCACTTATTTTAATGTTGTTAATAAAATGCGCTCAATATTTTAATGCTGGCTCATAATAATGTCAGAAAAATTTCTGTTTTATAATTAGTTTCTTGATTTAGTCATTACAGCAAAACAGGAGAGAGTACCTGCATTGAAACTTTTCATAGAGAACTTTTAAAGGGAAATATGGCATATTGTTTTCATACGAGTAAGGAAACGAAAATTAGTAAATAATTTTTTAACTGGTACTGAAATTAGAACTGTTGAATTTTGCTAAAACAAAATTAATTAAAGGTATTAAACTTAATGAACTTCACTAAAATTAAAATATTAAACTTTTAATAAAATTGAAATTGTTAATATATATTCAAATTATGAACCTAGTTTACTATAATAATCTTAAGGGTAGTTTACTAGAGTAAAAATAAACAGCTAAAAGAAAAAGGAATCATTTTCTTAGAGCAAAATTTTATGTAATCGATACCATTTTGTGCGGAATTACAAGTTTCAGAAAGGCTATAATTTGAAAAATTTCTAAGAAATACGTGGCAAAATGTTATAAAATTATTGCCACAAAAAATTTGAAATTAATGCAGAACTGTCCCCTCTTACCACCGAGACGATCCAGTTCCAAGGATTATATTTTGATTATTCGAGGTATTCTGTAAAGTGTTCCTGGAAACTGTAATCAAAATGTTGGTCTGATTATTTAATTTAATTACAGATATTTAATATTTTCACCGCTATATATTTTAACACACATTTTTAATATTTTCATGATTGTATATTTTGATATTAATTCTTTATATTTTCATGACTGCATTCAATTCATAGTTAATAATTTTTACTAGTAATAAAAACACGTTAAATATTTCAAACAATCGATCTCAATTTATTCGATTTAAACCCCATATTTAATAACTGAAAAAATTTTAAACTCTGTAGAGTAATTTCTTCTTAAATTAAATTACTGTTTTTCTTTGAGGATGAAGGATCTTGCGAACTATCTAATAAAAACATACAAGTATTTATTATTTGAGAAGTTAATATATCAAATAGCAGGAAACTTATTTTTTAATTAAATACTATGTTAAATTTTTCAAACTTTATTAAAACTAAGGCATTTGGAATTTTAATAAAATTATATAAACATAAGTGACAATATATAATGGCAAGAAAGGAAAAAGGTGCTGGTGTATTTAATTATGTCAAAGCACACTAGGGCTATCTGCCTAAGAGGAAGGATGCCTTTCGTGGAGGACTTTCTAAGGGAAACTGGCTCGTATACACGTTACACACGGGGAAAACCACGAAAACACCCCTGCAGCCAGCCCGTTCGCGGGATTTGAACCTCGGACCGAACTACCAGTGTTCAGCGACTTTACCGCTCGGCCGCTGGTGGGCAGAAAGGAAAAAGGAATCGCTCTTAATAGTTTTTAACAAAACAATAAAATATTAACATATTAATTCATGATTAAACGTTGAGTTTCAGAGAAAAAAAGTTATAGCTGAATTATTGCTTCTGATCTGATTTTATAATAATGAACTTCTTTCACAAGAAACTGTCAAATTCATCAACATGGTTTTCTTACTGAAATGAGGAATATTTTCATGACAATAATTGCAGTTAGATCAAACGATAACTTTTAATACATTTCACTTTCAGTACAGGAATTTAGTAAATACTTTTTATAATTTTCTGCAAACTAATTTGCTTCTGAATAATACTAAAATTATATGATATCAAAATATTAACAATAATGATAAGCAGTTTTATTAAAAATATATTTATTTCCAATTTGTTCTCTAAAAGAATAAGACAGCTAACAGGCATGTAAATATTATAGTCTTCCGATCTGTTCGCAGAAAGCACTTAAGTTATTTTTAATTCAGATGTAGACACTTAAAGCTTTTAGAAACCTCAATATCAAAAACACATTTTCTGACTGTCAGAATTAAAATTTAAACAAAGAAGGCATATCAGATTAAATAATGCAAATCTTTCATTTATTTCTTATCAATATTAGCTTAAACTTTAAAACAGGCTTCCTGTTCTCTAGTATATACATATATATTTAAAGAACGAGAGTATATTAAGTATAGTTTTAAATATTGCAAAATATTGAGAAATATTCTGTTGATGAATAATTTTCCATATTTAAAGCATAATACATAGTATAAAAGGATGCTTAAATAATTATAAGGATAAAAATATAAAAATACGAGCTTGAAATTAAACTTCAAGTGCAGGGAATTAGGAAAATTTATATTTATTAATTTTTAACTTTGTCGTATAATCAGATTAAACAAATGAATTTCCGGACCAGTTTAGTGTAATTTACTTCATAAGCATTACTCTTATTGAAATGTATATAGCTTTAGGCATGATTTAGTAGGATATGAAATTATAAAAATGCAACTATGATTATAAGCATGAAAAATGACACTTTTTACAATAACATGATTTTATTGAGTACTGAAAATCATGATAAAAGTGCGATTTAATACATTCTTTATCGTAAAGCGCAGACTTATATATAAAAGAAATTTTTTTTTATCCACATAGCAGGAACATTATAGCCATAATTAAAAAAAGGAACAATACTAAATTTTTCTTCAAAATTTGATTATGAAAACTTTTATGACGTAAAATAAATTAAATTTTTATTTTTCAGTTTCTTATAATGTTCTGTAACTAAAATTCTAATTTATAAATCAAATATATGTGAAGTAATCAAAATAAACTTTGCAAACAAGCTCAAACGTCCCCTCTTAATATAAGACATTGTTATTTAAATCTGGGTTCTCAGACATTGTATTCACAATAAAAAGGTTGTTGCATTATATTTTTAACAATGGAACCGCAATGAATTTTGTATCGCTGTGGTAATATTAACAAATATAGTTTAGAAATATATGTCAAAGTTTAATGTTACTGCTAATTGATTAAGCTTAGTATAAATATAATTTTACCATTTTTTAAAACTTTTGGTTGTATTGCTAATAAAATAATAAATAACTGCAAAAATATATTTATATTTAATACATTGAATTAAAAATTATATTTATAAATCTGACAGACTGCTTATAAAGTATACTAAATAGTTAGACATCAATTAAATGCAATTTTAACCAACTTCTCTTTATGTTTCAAATGAGAATTGATATGTCAATAGTTTTACAGAAGACAAGAACTAATTCCTATTCAGAGTTTCAAACTTTAACTATTTTTCTAAAATATACTACTACATTTAACTGAGAACCCTTTATAGGAACAATACATGGTATAAGAATGAATTAAAAGTCCTTACATTAGCAGTGCATTTAACTTCACATTACCTAAATTTAACACAAAATTTTTCACATAAAATATGTATTCAAAAGCAACTGAAGTTAAACAGAATGTTCATTAAAATTAGATTTAACAAACTGAAATCGTATCACTTTAAATTGTTTGTTCAATTTGAAGTTCTTGAAGAATAATAGTATAAAATTTGACTTACTGTTGAGAAACATTTCAAGTTACCTCTTAAACACAAGCTGAATGGGTGGAACATTTATTTTCGCCATAACATAGCATTAAGTCGGAAAAAGAACAGTGTTGTTTACAGTTTTATAATTGAGATCACATTTTGTTCATTGTTCTTCGGCAGATACCAACGATTGTCCTATAGTCACAGGTATAATATCTGTATTTATATATTTACACTACTATCTACAAAAAAATATTTTACACGATTTGTCGAATATGTTCACTCGGAAGATTTCGTCACTAGCTCTGTTTGGACATAATTGGTATGGGTTTGTAGATGGTTGTTGCACTTTCAGAACTGGTGGCTGTAGAACTTTGACTGACATTCCTATTTTGTCCTGTCTGGCAGTTCAAAGCAGACACTGTCCTTAGGGCATGCAGGTCGTAAAGGGCTTGCCCAGGTCCGACTAGAGATGAGAAAAGGTATCCGCAACCAGGCATTGCCGAGTAACCTTGGGCAGCACTTAAACCCAAAGGAGCGCAACCTGGAGGACAAGCAAGACTGGACCATAACGGCGCATGGAAGCTGGCTGCAGTATCTGCTCCTAATAATCTGTCCACGCTAAAGCCCGTAGGTTTTGGACTCTGTATGGCAGCCATATTCGTTGTCAAACTGGAATAGGGATATTTGAAAGATAGTAAACCACCAGGAGTATGAAAACCACCGTAACCAGCAAGGGACCAGCCCAGAGTAGTCTTGTCGTGTGGATGCAGACCAGGATTGAGTCCAGTGTGAAAAACAGGTGCACCTGCACGTTTGAAAGCCAGCCGACTTCTAGAAGCTGCAGTTGTTCTGCGCCGAAGTTTTCCCGTTGTGCCTCCAATGAAGACATCATCTGAACTCGGATCTAACATCCAGTAATTGCCTTTCCCGGGATCATCGTAGTGTCGTGGCACTTTGACGAAACACTTGTTGAGGCTCAGGTTATGCCGGATGGAATTTTGCCATCCTTGTTTATTTTCGCGATAATAAGGAAAGTTCTTCATGATAAATTCATAGATGCCATTAAGAGTAAGTCTTTTCTCCGGGCTTTGCCGGATAGCCATCATAATGAGGGCATTGTAACTGAAAGGTGGCTTTTCGAAAGCAGATTTTTTGTCATCCGATCCTTTCGATTTGTTGCTGGATGATGTTTTATTCGGAGAAGCCGGTGTCGCTGCACTAGCTGGCGTCGATTTCGTTTCTGAATCAGGCGGCGTTGCTGCGCCAGTACTTCGGCGGCTGCTAAAGTCCCGTGGCGATTCAGCGGCCGGTGGAGGTGGGGTGACTATCGCGGCGGCAGTCGCCGGTCCGTTGTCCTCTTCCTCGCCGCCGTTGATGAGGCTGCTGATCGTGAAGGAAGTCCGCCGGGGCACAACCATCGCTTCTGCCGTCCCTTCAATGCGAACCATAGCGGATGGCCGCAAAAAACTTTTTAAACAACTCCGTGCCCGACCACAAACGACACATTAAATACGACTACCCGCTGCTGGGACGCCCATCCTCGTCGCTCTTCCCCAATCCCGCTCCCACACTCCTCTCACTGCGAGAGAGGCTCCGCCTAGATTCCGCCTACCCTAACGCCCCTCGTCAGCACTTCTAACCAATGGCTGCGCAGTCCTACCTCGCTCCTAGGCGAGTGTTTTGCCAACTGCAGAGTCTTCACCAAGAGTGCGGCTCCGGCGAATGGTAGGACGCGCTTTTCCCAAACTTTCACAGAGAGGGGAGAAGAGGGGTCAATGTTTATCCATGAACCCCCCTTTTTTCCCTTCGCATCATATTTCCCTCGAGAACTTAGCATCACCGAAAAGGTAAGCGAAATATTTGAGTTTTACACTTTCTAGCTATTCCAGTAGACGTTTGCTCGTTTTCCAACCAGTCAGCCCATCAGTCTCTTTCATTTATTGTTTTTGACAACATGTTTTTGTCAGTGGTCACAATTTCCTAAAAACTGTAATAAAAAAAGAAAAGAAAAATTATTATTTTCATATTTGTAATTAGTTTATTACTTGCGATGGAAATTAACGAAAATCACTCATTAATCTTATTTTCCATTAGGCCAATACTTAAAAAAAATTGCATCATATTTTAACTGAATTTTAAAATACATTTCTGGCGATATTCAGAAAAATATTCTATATTACCGGAGTAAATGTTATTTTCTTATAAATAAAACTGAAACAGCCCCCTCTATTTGTTTATCAAATGAAAAACAAAAATGAAACAATATTTTTAAAAATATTTCATAAATATCTTTTTTTAATGGAAATAATAACCCTGGGAAAAAAGAAAATTGGTCCTAAATTCCATAGTACTACTGCTGACTCAAGGACCTTTCACTTGATATATATATGTCTATTAAAATTTCGTTTCTTATTCTGTTAAATATAATTTAATTGAATAATAAATTTAAGATAAATTTTGCATTGAATGTTATAACAAGAATTACTTATATAAGGTTTTTCTTATGAATTTAAACAAATTTAAATTTTAACAAACATGTATATACGTAAAAAAGCAAATTTAAAGTTAAAATAATTAAAAAATGTGCAAACATATAAATGTATTTTTAATTCTATGGTTAGTATTACCACACTAAAGAAATAGACATCTGCATAATTATTTATTTAAATGTTATAAATATAACAGATAGAATATTTATTACAATATTAAAATAAAATACTAAATATATATTATACTATGTTCTTTTCCACAAAAGGTAAGTTTGATCCATTGTTAATAAATTAAATCTTTTCAGTATGAAATAAAGCGTTCGCTGGAGAAAAAGAAATCGAATTTTTTTTTATTCAAATTTAAATTTATAAACTGCAAAAAGCTGTATTATTCAATCCACTTGTATTACATTATTACACCTACAGATATATAATTAATGAATTCTGATAAAATTAATAAGTATAGAAAACAATAAAAATTATCTTGATTTCATATGGAAATCACTTGATGTATTTAAAAGTACGCGATTAAAAATTCGATTTGATGGAAATCACTTGATGTATTTAAAAGTACGCGATGTCTTAAAAAGCTGTGTTATTCAATACACTTGTATTGCATAATTACACCTACAGATATATAATTAATGAATTCTGGTAAAATTAATTAGTTTAGGGAACAATCCAAATTATCTTAATTTCAGAAGGAAATGACTTGATGTATTAAAAATACACGTCTTGGGGGGGGGAAAGTTAACTCATAAAAAGTTAAAAATTTCAGATTTTATATTACGCCAAAAAGAGGCGTTTTTTTTTTTTTTTTTTTTTTTTTTTTTTTTTTTTTTTTTTTTCAAATACCTACACATGTACGTTTCGAGAGTATTTGGACTAAAAATATTTAAAAACAGCATATCTTTAGAATTTCCAAATAGACAGTCTGGCGCCCTGAAGATAATTTTTTTTTTTTTTTTCGTACAGTGTTGCTACTACATGCTTTGAAATCGTTGAATTTGTTAATAAAAAATTCGCTGAAGTTTTACATACTGTGTAACAGACAATAAAACAAATTCGAAATTCCGAATTCGGGCTTCCGGGTGTCCATATTCTGTTGGAGGACTACGTTATTCAAAATTTGATGGCTATTGGTACCGTTGTTTTTTCACAATGCGAAAAACATGCATACATTCATGCAGATTCTTCATTGTTTAATTTATTGAAATATAATAGAGGGAGGAAATATTTGGTGGCAACAATTTAAAAAGTGATACGTCGTTTACAGTGCACCTAAAAAAAGACTAAAAAAGTTTTATTTTTAACGTTAAATGAACTTTTAAATCTATATATTGCGTGACAGGTTAAAAATTTCTGCCGTTTCCATGCCTTTATTTTCTACATATTTACTTAAATCATCTCGAATACAAAATACAAACAGAAATAACAAATATTTCCGTTACTCAACTCTCAGCTGCAGTACAACTCGATGTAACTCTCACTGCCTGTTGAATATTCAGTATGGAATTTAATATTGGAAATTTAATATTAGTTTAAATTCTAGTTTAAATTTCAGTTAAAATTTTATTTTTACATATTGATTTCATTAATTTAAATTGTTATGCTTTATTTATTTTATATATTATTTTCATTGACTGATTTTATAATTATTTCTGAAAACATTTTATAAATTTTCTGTTATGCGCCTGCCACGCCTTTTGGTGAGAGGCAGGCGATAATCTATTTATTACCCATCACCTTCTGGGTGACGTGTTTGTGCGTCTGTTTGTCAGTCATCTTTAAACTATTCTCATACTGAAGAACTAGAAACTATATTTAGAATGAGTTTGTAATTAAAAAACATGCCGAAATGCGTGGGAGGTGCATAACGAAAAAGTATTATTTTATGCAATATTAATTAAAATTTTGTAATTTTTATACATTATTTTTGCTATTTCATTCACTTCACGGTATCTTTAAAGTAATTAAATTCCTTAATTATTTCTTTTTTCATTTCGGCAAGATTTGTTTCCTTCTTTTTTAGAAGTAATTTTTGAAACGGGCAGCTTTAAATTTTATTCTAAATTGTATTGTTCTTATAAATTAAAATTTCAAGTTTTTTTTCCATTCATTCTAAACATTAGATATATTCAATATCAGAGCTTCACTACATTTTTACGATCATTTTTAAAGTTCCCTTGTGCACTGATAGTTCGGTCCGTTGTTCGAGTCCCGACAAACGGGCTGGCTGCATAGGCGTTTTCTGGTTTTCCCCTTGTGTAACGTGACACAAGTCATTTTTCCTTAGAAAGTTCTCCATGGAGCATCTCTCCCTTGCCATGTAGTTCCTAAAGGCGGAGTATGTATTATATAAAAAAAAGATAATAAGTCTCCTCGGAAAAGAGATTAACAGTCAGTCTATATCTTTCAAAAAATATTTCATCCGATTCCTTTTTTTTTTGTCCCTGTGTGCTTATGCTGACTTATTTATCTTAATGGAATTTACAAGTCTCTTTCCTCATTGTCGACTTTTATTATTTTTGATTTCCTGCATCTTAGACATTTGTTAAAGATTTTTGAATTTTTGGGGATGAGAGATGTTAGATTAGGTTAATTAATTCCTTTAGGTTTCTTTAATATGGCAAAACACATGAGAACTATCTGACTCAGGAGAAGGATGCCTTCATGGAGGATTTTCTAGTGAAAACTGGCTAGTATTTCTGTTGCGTATTAGGGAAACCAACAGAAACCAGTCTTGCTGCCAGCCCATTCGCCTGATGGTATCCAACTTCCAGCATTCAGTGATGATAACCCGCGGCCACTGGTGGGATCTGGGGGTAAGGGAATTTTCTGGAGAGTATATTGTGATCAATAACTTTAATTTCCTTTAAATTTGCATCTCGACGATACAATTAATAAAACCACACGTGTCATCAATAGCACTGTGTACTGTATTGATCCGAAAAAAAGATATGAATTTGTTAAAGGCCTTTCTAAAAACTGTTATTTTTTTTTGTGTGTGCAAACTAGTATTTAGAAAATATATCAAAATTACTTATTCTTTAATTTCATTTTAAATGTAAAAATATTACATTTTATTTATTACAATGATTAACGTAAGACGTATTTGGATCGAAGAAGAGTATAATAATATAAATTCATCCAAGTGAAATCACAGACTAAATTACATCTAAATAAATATTGAAAATATTTAAGTATGTAAAAAAGTAAAATATCCAAAAAAGTAAAGTAAATAAAAATAGAATTAAAATATTTAAAAAAAAAAGAAATATCCAAGTAAAAATGCGTCTAAAAATGTAAAAAATCAGCCAAGTGCAGTCCCACACTTATATCTAAATTTCACCGTTTAAAGATGCTGTATGAATAATTGATAAAATGCCCATTTACATTGCTTTGCGTTGTTAATAAAACAAATCTTGTTATATGACATGTGTAATTAGGATGATATTCCTTCTCTTGAATTAACCAAACTATCATAGATTTCGAGAAAGAGGAAGAGATTCACATAACTTTATCATTCATGATGACATTCAAAAACGCGTTCTCTAAAGTAAATTATCTTCATCAACTAAGAGATTCAGATTGAGATGTAGTTGTCTCGAATTCTAAAAGCAAAAGCCAACAGTTGATCAATTTCTTTTAGTCTAAAAATTCACGTCTATTATAATTTGCACACAGAATGTCCACTTATCGGATATATTTATAATACAGCAAAAACAACCGGACAATTTTTTTAATCTCGCATTTTATGTAAATCTAAATGATACTGAAAAAAAAAAAAAAAAAAACAACTTTCTTTTACACATTTATGAGTAATTTAATTTTTGTTGTTCCATCACAATAAACCAACGAAAAATCATGTTGTAGAGACATTATTTTTTGGAAGCAGGCAATGAAAAATTAACAAACGCCTTCGCCGGGAATCGAACCACGGACCTCTGGAATACCGGCCCAGCGTGCAGAACCACTACACCACGAAGGCACGCTAGGAAAGTGGGAGAAATGCCTTATAATGTATAGTGGAAATGTTATGTATCTGTTGATGGTCATCTCGGACATCAATGTTGATAGTATGACTTTTCTGTTCAACCATTTTAGTCTGGAAAGAAACACTCAATTCAGTCAGTCAAAAAAGTACTGTACCTTTATGCGAGTCAACCACCTTCATAAGTGTGTTCCGGTGTAAAGATGCCTGCACCAATAGGTAAATCAGTTTCTGAATTTAAAAAAAGCATAACGGTACGGAGACCTTTATGCTGCTGCATCCCTCCTCAAATGCAGCTTTCAGTTGCTTCGGTAGTCAAGGTTAGCTGTTTTGAATATAACACAGAGCATAAAAAGGCTACACT